TTCTCACCTTATCTCTAAGGGAGAGCCCAGCCGCCCTGCGAAGGAAACCCATGTCAGAATTCATCAGAATTATTCAATGTTGTTTGTGAAAGAGCAATTAGCAATTGGTGAGACGCTGATGAGCAAGGTGATGTGCTGCTGTAATGTAATTTAGAAGTGCTTTGTAAAAAGTAAGTTTATAACATGAAGTGTTTCTGTGATAAACTTGAGTATCCATTCTCTTTTTTTTAGAGTTTTTCTGGGCTCAAACCCTGAACGAGGTCGACTGACACGTCGCCAACGAAGGTGAAGAAGCAGCTTTGCCTTCCAACCAAATGGCTCAAGTCCCTTAATGAACTGAATGACTGGGAATCCATGGAAAATTTGAGCCTTTTGAAGTTTAAATGTGATTGATCATCTCATCAAACCTGGTGCACCAAGAACCTTTGCGAAGCACAAGAACTGGTCAGAACATTTCAAGCTCTTGGTAACTGGACCTAAGAGTTGGATTAACCTTTTTTTGCAGAACATAAACATAAAATGGACTGTTTTGTTATGTTCACAGCGACTAGAGGTAATGAGAGCACACACTCATGAATCCAGTGTCTTCCACTGTCATTGGCATTAGGCTGTGTTTATGTATTTGATTTTTAACAAAATATTTATACCTGTATTTCATAAAAAATAGTGGTTGACTTTCGGCATTTATTTTGAAGTATGTTGGTCCTGTTTACAACTATGATTTTCATGATCCAAAGCAATTTTTGTATGTTCCATGTTAATTAACAAAATTGTTTATTTGATTTCAAAGACTAGAGTCAAGACTGCTTTACATTTAATTTATATGTTGAAAATGTGTATAGAAAATGCAATTAATTAGTTGTGATGTACAGAAGATAAACATTAGCAAACTCAAGAATATGTTGAGTTCTTAATATATAATAGTAAAGGTTAGTTATAAAAACTAGATGACATGTCAATTTATGGTCTTAAATTGCAAAATAAAGTCTGCAAATTGATTGTAGAATGGTTTCATTTTTACATCACTTTGCATGAGCTACTTTCAAAGTAAGTGTTTTGTGTTCTACAACTATGTTTCCTGTGGACTTAGAATTTAGTTTTGTTTCAAAATTCAATGGTCAATCAATGGTTTGGAAGACAAAAGTATTTGGAAATGTTCACAGCTTTTAAAAAAAAGTTTGTGAACATATCACAAAAGACAGTAAAAAGACAGAAAATTTCAGTTTTGCGTTAACAAAATATTAGTAAATTTGACATAAACTGTTAAATTATGGAAAATA